TTGGAACATTTAGTAGCTTGCCTATGTTCAGATAGCTGGTGAGTGTCAGAACCAGAATTTGAACCCAAAAGGCTGATCCAAAGCCTAGGTTATTGACCATTAAGTTCTGTGGCCTTGGGCTATAAGAATTCTTAGTGGGAACCATAAGGGTTCTCTAAAATAGACAATGACATTCTGTCACCACCTCATCCCATTTTCAGCTCCTTCCATGATACACAACTTTCTTCTCACTATTTGTGTTGCTACTGAGGATGCTGGAGGACAATTCCAACTTCTCCATAAACCCAACCAACCTCTCCACAAGGCCAAACTACTGTCATTTTTAAATTTTTTTAACATTGTTTTTTATTTTAAAGTATTTTTATTATATTACAGTTTTCCCAATTTTTCTTCCTTTATCCCCCCTCCACTCTGCCTCCCGCATTCCCCCCACCTTAGTTCACTAAGTTCTTCGAGTCCTCTGTTTCCTATACCACTTTTTATCTTTCCCTATTTTATGCCTACTAATTATGCTTCTTCTCCCCTGTACCTTTTCCCCCTATTCCTCCCTTCCCCCTTCCCAAAGAACTCCCTCTGTGTGATTTCCATTCCTCTAATTCTGTTCCTGTTCTGGTTGTTTGTTTAGTTTTTGTTGTTTTTCTTTTCTTTTAGGTTCATTTGTTAATAGTTGTGAGTTTGTTGTATTTTTACTGTTCATATTTTGATCTTCTTTTTCTTAGATAAGTCCCTTTAACGTTTCATATAATAAGGGCTTGGTGATGATGAACTCCTTTAACTTGACCTTATCTGGGAAGCACTTTATCTGGCCTTACATTCTAAATGATAGCTTTGCTGGATAGAGTCATCTTGGATGTAGGTCCTTGCCTTTCATGATTTTAAATACTTCTTTCCAGACTCTTCTTGCCTGCAAGGTTTCTTTTGAGAAATCACCTGATAATCTAATGGGAACTCCTTTGTAGGTAGCTGTCTCCTTTTCTCTTGCTGCTTTTAGGATTTTCTCTTTGTCTTTAATCTTGAATAAGTTAATGATAATGTGCCTTGGTATATTCCTCTTTGGGTCCAACTTCTTTGGGACTCTCTGGGCTTCCTGGAAGACTATTTCCCTTGCCAGACTGGGGAAGTTTTCCTTTATTATTTGTTCAAATAAGTTTTCAATTTCTTGCTGTTGCTCTTCTCCTTCTGGCACCCCTATAATTAGGATATTGGAATGTTACAGGTTGTCCCAGAGAATCCTCAGCCTCTCTTCATTTTTTTGGATTCTTGTTTCTTTGTGCTGATCCAGTTGGATGTTTATTTCTTCCTTTTGTTCCAAATTGTTGCTGTGAATCCTGGTTTCCTTCTTGTCACTGTTGGCTCCCTGCATATTTTGCTTTATTTCATTTTGGGTATCTTTCATTTGTTCTTTCATTTTTCGACCAAGCTCAATCAGCTCTGTGAGCATTTTGATTACCAGGGCTTTAAATTCTCCATCAGATAGGTTGGCAATGTCCTCATTGTTTAGTTCTGAGGTTTTGCTGTGTTCTTTCATTTAGGCCATATTTCTTTGTATTGGCACACCTCATAGGTTGTAAGGGGCAGGGCTTAGGTATTCCCCCCAGGCAGGGCAACCCTCTTTGCAGCGCTGCCTGTGGGGGAGGGGCCAGAGAGGGAACAATGCACAGCTTGATTGCTGGTCTCTAGCACACTTTCCAACAGACTCTGGTGTCAGACTGGAAGTACCTCCCACCATGGCAACCCAACCTTAGCCCTCAGTCAGCTCTGAGTCTCAGTTTTCCCCTTAAGTCAGTCCTTCCTGTGTAGCTCTGTGGAGCTGGGCAGCCAGCCCTACCCCTCAGCTGCCTCGATGCTGTGTTTTTCTGAGTTGGCCCTTGCAGTCCTCCTTACTGGTCTGGTTGTTCTGGTTGATTTTTTCCTTAATTCCTTGGTTGTCAGAGTTCCATGCAGTTTGATTTTCTGATGTTTTTGATTGTTTATTGATTTTAGATTGGTTGTTATCCTTTTGGTTGTGTGAGGGAGCAAAGGGTTTCTACCTACGTTTCCATCTTGGCTGGAACTCCCAAACTACTTTTATAATCTTCTCTCTTAATGGGAAAAGTGTACTTCAGCCCAGTGGTTCCACTGTGTGTACCTTCATATCTGTACACTCAAGTAAGTTTACATATTTCTTCCTAATTTAAGCTTTTCCTTAGGAGTTCCTCCCCTGCTTTGAAAGGTCACTCAACTCCTCTCCTTGAGAATTAATCAGCCATATGTGGCCTCTGTAAAGCCTCCCCAGCACGGCACCTCTCCCCCTGCCTGGAGTCTTAGGGCTTTCATTAAGATCTTCACCTCATACTTCTTGGCTGAGCTAAAATAAACTTTCCTGTATCTTGCTATTATCTTTTTATGTACTGTTGAGCCTTGAACAACCTGAGGATTAGGGATGCCAATTCCCCTGCCACACACAAACACAAAATGGAAAGTCTGTGTATAACTTTTGACTCCCCCAAAACTTAACTACTAAGAGCCTACTGTTGACCGGAAGCCTTACCAATAACATAAACAACAGATCAACACATACTTTGTATATTATATGTATTATATACTGTATTCTTCCAATAAAGTAAACTAAAGAAAATAAAGTGTTATTAAGAAAAAGGAAAATACATTTATGGTATTCACTGAAAAACATCTACATATACGTGGACCCACATAGTTCAAACCCATCTTGTTCAAGAGTCAACTTGTATGTAATTTCCCCCTAAATAGACCATGAACTCTCTGAGGACAAAGACCAGATGTCATGATTTTTCTATGCTCCACATGGTCCCGTGTAGTTCTCTCTGTACAAGGGTACCCAATAAATATTTACTGAATGAAGTGATTAATTTCTTCCTTTTTAAAAATGTTTTGCTCTTGCTAAGAAATATTTTAACCAAAGATTTCTCCTTTCCAGTTTTTCTTACAGGAAATGATAGGCAGACTGTAAGAGGATTACAACAAATGGGAATCATATTTCAATGTCCTGAAACTTCCAGTGAAAGAGATAACCCCAAATCACTTGTATGTCATAATATTCTGTGCCTCCCTGAATATTCTACAATGGAAAGAATGGAGGAAGCACTTAAATTAGTCATCAGCAGCAACAGAGGATTTGTTAAGGAGTTATAGTGACCTCTGAGAGTCTCAATGAGGCCTCAGATTCTCAGGTTCTCTCACTCTTCCATTCTGATGTTCTTCTTTAGGTCTAATTAGTACAAGGGATTGATGGATTTTTAATTAGAATTAATATGTAAATGTTGAGATATGCAACAAAGTGATGAATCAAGATAATATTTTTAATGAATCAACATTTCCTAATTCCTGAATTGCTATTGGAATATTTGTCTTTTAGTGAATTATTTCCTGAAAAATAATTATCATTTAAAAATAAGCCAACTAGAAGCTAATAGCTGTTTTTAAAAATATTGTGCATCTAATAAATATGGCTTGCAAATATGAAAGTTTGAAAAAATAATAAAAAATGTAAACTAATTCAACTCAATTTTGAGGCACATATATGTGTACTTTATATTTTGAAATGTCTCCAGTTTTTTAACTAACTGCTGAATAATTTATTTGAAAATCTAAATGTTAAGAGATTCATTAATTCATTGAATAATTACTTATGCTCAATACTATGTTCCAAGAGTCATTCTTTTTTCTTTTTAAATATTCTATTTATTTATTTTTAGAGAGGAGAATGGAGAGAGAAGGAGAGGATAGAAACATCAATGTGTAGTTGCCTCTTGCATGTCCTCTACTGAGGACCTGGCCCACAACCCAGGCACATGTCCTAGGCTGGGAATCCAACCTGCAACCCCTGGTTCACAGGCCAGCAGTCAATCCACTGAGCCACACCAGCCAGGTCAAGAATCATTCTAAGTGCAGATATCATTATTCTGGTTAAAGGCTGAGCCCAATAAGGAACTCTTGCCTAAATATAGTTAGGGAAATGAGAAGAACCTGCAATATGTTTCAGCATCTTGGCTATAGAATAAAGAAAAGATATAAGTATGGTTGGTTATGGCCAGTGAATTTTTTGGACCAATTAAATTTTAAGTTTTAAACTGTAAGCTGTTCTATGAATGCCTACTGTTATCCCAATCCACACAGAGAACCTTGTATTGATGGTAGTTTGGGAAAGGAAAGCCTATAGGGTGAAGTCCACATTGGGTGCTAATGTGGAAAGAGGACAGGGTCACCTGAGGATAGACAGAATAGAGATAAAGAATTCACCTAAGACACTAGTGAAGTGGTCATAAGCCCCCAGCAAATCCTCAGGGTAAGTTTGGACAGATCTGGTTTCTACAGCAGATTGGAATGAAGGCAGAGATGTATTCTTCCTGACTTTTAAGGGAAAAGGTAATTTTTACGTCTTAAGGATCTCCAGGCCTCTGACTTTTGGGTTGTGTTCTTCAGGTCTTTCATCCCCAACATTACTTTTTCTAATGCAAATGGGTGAACTGTACTAAACATTCTTTATACACTCTTTCAGAAAACAGGAAAAGAGGAAACACTTCCCAATTAATTCTATGATGCCAGCATTATCCTAATATCCAAACCAGACAAAGGCATTGTGTGTGTTTGGGCAGGGAGAGACTATAAATATCTCTCATGAACATAGACACGAAAATCCTTTATAAAACTGTAACATATCAAATATATCCAAGGATAATAAGGATAATACTTATAATAATAATAATAATAATAATAATAATAATAATAATAATACTTATTATCCTTGGATAATAAAAAGGATAAATACTTTGAGACTAAGTGGGGTTTAATCCAGAAATTCATTTGAAAAGCTATTGTATTTTACCATAGCAGACAAAAGCCATATAATTACCTCAATAGAGGCAGAAAAAAATTTTTGACAAAATTTAATAGCTATTCATGGATGATAAATTCTCTAGCATACTAAAACCAGAAGAAAACTTAACCTGTTAGAGCTTACACACAGCTAACTTTATACTTACGAGTGAAAGATACTGCATTTCTACTAAAGTTGAGAACAAGGCAAGGATGTCTTCTGAACACTTCAACATTGTGCTAGTTCTGTACTAGTCCGTACTATAGGGCAAAGAAAAAAAAAGAAAAGGCATGCTGGTTGAAAAACAAGAAGTAAAACTATCTTATTTATAGACTACCTGGTCATCTATGTGTAAGATTCTAAAGGATTTATAAAACTATTAGAACTACTAAATAAAAATAAAAAGGTATCAGGATTCAAGGTAAATATATAAAATGTTTTCCTATATGTACTCACAATATTTGTAAGTTGAAATTTGAAAAAGTATCATTTGCATTATCAACAAAAATAAATACCAAAGGATAAAATTGTTAAGGGTAAATTTAACAAAATATGTTAGAATATTCACTGAAAACTAGAAAATATAGGTGAAAGAAATTAAAGAAGCTTTAAATTAACTGAGAGGGAGATACATATGCACATGGACATTTGAATCAATATTATTGGCATGTCATTTCTTCCTAAATTGATCTTACTTAGCATAATCTCAAAATCCCTGCAGTCTATTTTTTAGAAATTGATAAACTGCTCCTAAAATGTATATGAAAATGCAAAGGACCTAGAATATGAAAATGCAAAGGACCTAGAATATGAAAATGCAAAGGACCTAGAATAACTAAAACCACACTGAAGGACAATGGTGGAGCACTTGAATGATTTTAAGACTTACTCAGAATCTACAGTAATCAAGGCAGGGTAATGCTGGAATAAAAATAAACATGTACATCAATAGAACACAATAAAAAGTTCGGAAATAAATCCAATCATATGGATCAACAGAGTTTTGACACAGATGCCAAGGCAATTCAATGAGGAAAGGTAAGATGGAACAATTGGAAATCTTTAAGGAAAAAATAAATAAACCTCTACCCTTTCTCATACCATACGGAATAAATCATGTGAAATGCTACAAAGACCTAAAAGTATAAAACTTTTTGAATATTTAAGGAAATATTTGTAACCTTGGGTTAAGCAAAATTCCTTAAGCAGGACAAAAAAAAAGGCATGAACTATAAAAGAAAAAATATATATTGCATCCCAATTAAAATTTTCAGCTCTTCAAAATACACTTTTAATAAAATTAAAAGGCATTGATAGGAAACATTTCAAAACATGTAATAAAAAACAATATGTAGAACATAAAGAATATTTATCAAGAGCTTTTAGGTAATAAGCAATTTATTAATAAATGGGCAAACCATGGGAACAGACAATTCACCAAAGAAGAGGTCAGCACTAATCGGCACATGAAAAGTTGCTCAACATCATTAATCATTAGGGAAATGGAAATGTAAAGTACAGTAAGAGATCACTACAGACAATAGCTAAAATTTAAAAAGACTGACAATACCAAATGCTGGTGAAGATACAGAGTGACCAAACTTCCATAAATTGCTGGAGGTAATGCAAAACGGTATAGCACTTTGGAAAAGTTTGGTAGTTTCTTATAATGACATTCATGTACTCACCACACATCACAATTCCATTTTTAGGTACTTTCCTCTCCAAATGAAAACATTTATCCACCAAAAGATTTGTTCACAAATATTCAGGGCACCTCTATTAACTGTAGTCAAAAACTAAAGGACTGAAATGCCCTTCGATTGGCGAATAAACTGCGATCTATCCATATAACGGAATACCACTCAACAGTAACAGAGAACTTTCAACGAAATTCAACAGGATGAATCTCAAAAGCATTGTGCAAAATGAAAAAAAGGCATACACAAACACCTTCGTACGTTTTATTGCACTTCCAAGAAATTCTGGAAAATACAAGAACTAATTGCCAGGCGCCACGGTTGCAGACAGGCTGCACATTTATTTCTCCCTTTCACTTTTAACTCAAAGTTGAGCTTTGCTTACCTCAATAGTTGCGGGAAATTCTGCAAGCCCGGCAGTGTCAGAGCTCCTTCTAAAAGAAATTCAGTGTTTCTTCGAAGGCCATTTGGTTCAGGAATTCAAATGGTCACTCCCGCCCGAGGACAAAGGACGCTGTCTCTGCACTGACCGTCAACCTGAACACCTTCCACACTTGGTTTTCATTTTCCTTTTCGGTTTTGGACCCGCCCCCTTAAAAAAAACAGCGATCCCTTTCGTTTCTCACGAAAGCGGTCGGCTCCGCCCCCCAACAAGACGTAGGGATTCCTGCGTCCGAGCCGCGGCAGATGAAGAGCGGCTCCGGTTCTTAGACGCTGCAGAGCGGTGAGCTCTGCGGCTTCGCACCGCGACGCCCTCTTTACTTTTGCTGGTGGGTCTGCTGACCTTCCCTCTCCACTGAAGGTCGGGACGGCAGAAGTGCTGTCGTGGAGACCGGGAAAGCGGCGATGGAACAGAGGCCACCGAGGATGTCGCCGGGCGGCTCGAGGCTGAGGTCCCGTCCGCCCGCCGCGTGCCGGCCTTCAGCAGAGCCGAAGGGCGCGCAGCTCTGGTTCTTTCCCAGCGCCCCCGGCCTCAGCAGCGTGCTGTCCCGGAGGTCGGAGGAGACGCGCCAGATGTGCTGTGCGCTCGGGCGTCTGGCGGTGCTGGAGCGCGGCGGGGCCGGCGTCCAGGTGCACCAGCTGCCGGTGGGGAGCAACGGCGCCAAGAAGCCAAGTGAGTGGGGCCGGGCAACGACAGTTCGGCCCTCCGGCCTCGGGACGGGTTGTGAGGGTAGGCGGCCTGGGGCTCTCAGCGGCACCGAAACTTCTCTCCAGGGTGGCCGGAGTTGTGGGAGTGCGGTTCTTCTCTAAATGAGGAAAGCTCCTGAGTGGACCCGGCGCGGCAGTGGTCCGTGGTGGCCGCAGAAACGCGCGGAGCCCGGGTTCGTTCCTCGCGTTCCGTGCCTGAGGCAGCCGAGAGCTCCCCTAGGTCCCCTTTTCCAGATGGCGTCGAGTTTGCGGGGCTGGTGGCGACCGCGACCACTGGACGGTCCTCTCCGCAGGGTAGCCGCGGGAAGGGAGAGCGTGTACAGGCAGCATCTTCACTTTAGCCAGTCTGCCTTTTGCGTTGGTTTCTGTTCAAAATTTGTTTTTCACTTGCCCCTCTTTAGAACGTAGCGACTCCGAATTTGTGAGCTTTGTAGAATACCTTGTTCTCGGCGGTAGTGTCTTACTTAACACTAGCAAGCACTTTCCAGAGTGCTTGCAATTGCACTTATCCGAGGGGGTAGTCTCCGTAGAGATTGGGTTGGGCACTGTGGCTCCGATTTTACAGGTGGGCGAAAGCAAATGGCCGCATTCGCACTCTGAAAAATTTTGCCCCTCTGTTGAGGGAAGAAAATGATGTTCTTTTGTTCGATTTGCTTTTAACTTGAGCGAAATGGAGCATCTTTTCTCTTTTTCTGTCATTTGCGACCCTTTTTGGTGAATCATCTGTTCGTGTATTTGCCTGGCTTTTTAAAAAATCGAGTTTTTCTTACTAATTTGAAAGAGTTATATGAACATTAAGTAATAATAGTCCTTTGTCAATCATATACGCTGTAATATTTCTCTCAACTTGCATTTAGTTGATGTTATTTTATCGTCTGCGTCATCAGTTATTTTAAGGAGGCTTATGGATTTTGTGTTATGTTAGAAAGGTATCCATTCATACCGTTTTTTAATACACTCATCTCTACAGAAATTTTAAGTTTTTAGTTTTAAAGTTAAAATTTTTGATAACCTTGGCTGTTATTTTAATTTAAGAAGTAAGGTAGTGGATGTAGATTTATTTGTGTTCTCCTAATGGCCACCCAGGTGTCCCAATACCTTTTTTTGAATAATCCTTCTCTTTTTTCTGACTGGTTTGAAGTGCAGAGTCTCTAAAAATCGTTAGTCTGTTAGACCATTTTTTCTTTATTACCACAGTATTTTGTTTTCTTCTAGCATGTATAATGTGAGGTGGTTTGTGCTTTGATATTTTACATGAATAGGTTCTGTTTTCTGCTTCATTGGAACTAGAGTGTGAAACAAGGCCCCGAATCTACTGTATCCTACTTTAATTTTTGTGATAAGACTAAATGAGATAAGAGTAAATGTTAACTAGTGAACAATTTTAAATCTCTTAACTTTTAGAAAGAGCTAAATACGCACTAATACCAATAAAAAAATTTTATCAGCATCCTCTTTAAAAATGGACCCTCAAACATAATGTTAAGAATGTAGGCATTGTTGTGTTTCTGATAAGAGTATATCTTAGAATATACAATATGTTTGCTCCTACAATGAACTATGTTGTCTAAATATTGTATTTTCTTAATAGACTTTTTCATTGCTGTGACTTAAAATTTAGTTTTTCCATCTCAATTTATTAAGCAGGAATCTAATATCAAATTTTAATTGGCTTTTTAAAAGACATACTCAATAACAAAGTATGGATCAATGCATTCCCACTTTTTAAAAAAAAGTCCAAGACAATAATCATTGCTAATGTGTCTGCTTTCTGTACTGGAATTTTCTTTAAAGACAAGATCATGTTAAGTCAAAGGTCGTTAGTTGAAAATTTTTTCAGTTGTTTAAGTGTATTGCAATGAAATCAATGATAATGGTGGGTAATAATCAGAGTGATGATAGTTCCTGGTTGGATTTGCTCTGCAGAGTGCATTAAGTTAGGAAAAAAAATGAAGATACATTCCGTGGACCAAGGAGCAGAACACATGCTGATTCTATCCTCAGATGGAAAACCATTTGAGTACAACTATAACATAGAATGTGAAAGGTAGGGAACTATTTTTTAATTAAAAATTGTTTAAATTTTACTTAAAAGGCAATCATAATTTCTGTAGTAAAATATTAATTTATATGATTCTAGGCCCCTGCTGTATATAGTGGCATTGTAAATAAACAATGAATTCTGAACTGACCATGCGTAAACTACAAACCAATTTATGTTGCTAGGGCACTTACCATGTGTTGCTTTGATATTTAAAGGAAATGTTTGGTTAGTCTGCTTAGCCCCAAATTGGACTTTTTCAAATTTATTAACTCATAATAATCTTAGCAGTTAAATTTCTAGAATAAAAGTTTTCAACCTAGGAAAAAAATACATTATCGTGAAATGATTTGTGATACTTTTTCCTAGTAAATCTTATGAATTAGAACTTCTTTTTATTTTGTATAATTCCTGCATCATAAAACTATATTGTTTGCAAAAATCTTAGAATCATCTTATTACAGTTATAACTATGTAATGCACATTATTTTCCTTTGAAACCACTAATTAAAATATATCATATTTTTATAATAATTTTAGATGTACTAAATGTGAAGCACAACATTGTAATTTTTTTCTTGAGCTTCAATTCTAATTAAACACAGTTGATAATTTTAACATTGATGTTGTGACTTTCATTCATATGGTGATATAAAATATATTTTCTTTCATCAGGCTTCAGTGCATTTTACAAGAAAAATGTATAATTCAGATCACATGTGGAGATTATCATTCTCTTGCACTCTCAAAAGGTACTTTTCTGCAATATTGTATTTTAGAGGGAGTAAATGTGTGTATATGTAGAAGTAATAGAAATGCTTTACTTTATAACAGGACAGAAATATGGTTTTGAATTTAATATGGTTCAGAGCACTGTTCTTAAAGAAGATATAATGAGAGAACTGTTGGACCTAAAAAGTCTTTAGGTTTCCATTATTCCTATTCCTATATTTTATTCTGTCAAATGAAAAAACTAAAACAATTTAGTAATGAGTTTGATGTTCTTTATTTAAGGGGAAAAGGATCCATGAATAGGGGAGTACAGTTCCTCACAAGCAGTGGAGCGTTCTTCCCCAGGATTTTGGGCAAGAGCAAATTTTATAGAGCATTAGAAAGCCAAATTTGGAAATAGGGAGTGATTGCTTAGGGTTGTGTATCTGACCTTATTTGGAAGGTCAAGGAAATAAGTATAGAGCCCAGAGTTGGCTTGATATTTGGGGATCAACTGCCTGGATGGACTGTTTTTCTGGTCAAGTGGAGCATGTATAGAAACACGAAAATTTGATTGACGTGGCACCCCAGATAGGAGCGGCTCCATCTTGGGTGGCTCCATCTTGGGTCTGGAGATTTGTTTCAACAGTTTCATGTTTTATTTTTCAAAAATGAAACAATGAAAATATTCTGAATAGTCAAATCATTCTCTCTGGATTCATGACCAGACACTGGCCAGCCTTTTCCAGAACCTTTTTCCCTTTTCTTAGTGCTCTTCCAACTCCCATGGCAGTAGCTCAGAATCCCTGGGCTCTGCTTCTGTAGCCAGTTAGCAGACCCCTGATAGGTTTTCATATTACCTTTGGAATTCAGGCATTCTCCCTAGCCCTTTATTATTTCCTGTTTCTTATCAGACACCATAATGGATTATTTCCTAAAGACACTTGACCATGGAGGAATGATTAAGACAGGAGGGTGATAGGAATTTGGTGTCGAAGAACATTTTTTTGATGTATAGGACAGACATAAACTGAATGGAAGCTGGGTTTCAGAGAAAGTAAATAATCAACTATTTGACCTGTTTTGAAGGCCCTATGGAAATTTCAGGGCATAAACTTGTATTGGAAAAAATTGACCTGATGGTTTGACTTCATCCATTGGTGAACACACATTTAATTTTGAGTATCTACCACTTTCAGGTTATGAAGATGATGCAGACACACTGTGCCTTCTAGAACTCCAGGGTCTAGTGATGTAGGGGGAAGGGGATGTTCAGGATTTATAGCTGGTAAATCCCATCTAGGAAAAAGGATAGTTGGGGAAACAAGAAATGAAACTGCATGCTCATCATCATATTCTTGGTGGCCAAAAGGTTCGTCATGATAATTATGTTAGGAGGACAGGCTGTGCCACTAGATCTTGCATAGTATTTTGCAAAGAGGTGTCTAGTTAAGAGTTAATTCTGATATATTTTTTCAGACTTCATTAGTTATTGTCAACTAACTCTATTACATATTAACTGAAAACTTTTCTTTAAAAATATATTTCATACATTCAACTAATGGAAGAAGGTGCTGGTTCTTTTAAGATACTGCGTGCAATTTCAACTGTATTTTTTTAATGAATATTTATAGTACCTTTATTCAGAATCGTC